TTTATCTGAGCCACCCGATATACAGGCACATTTTTACGAAGCTCGTCTATAATTAGTTCATTTTGAAGCGCGAAAAATTCTCTATCTTTCTACGTATTGGCTTTGGTCAAGGTCTTTGAAATCGTACAAAAAATTTGAGGGACAAAGTGTATAGTCTTCGTTGAACTGGTGACGAAAAACGGTAAGAAATAGTTTTTTCAAGAAGATCAGGAGCCATTTTTGAAAGTCAGAAGTGTTGGGAAGTGAGGCGTGAAGCGTTTCTGGTCATTTTTACTCAAATCATATCGGATCATTTTCTAGCAGAAACCTTTTCCCGTCCTTTTTTATGGTTCGACATACATGGTCTTAAATGTAATATTTTGCTGAAAACTAGTTTACAGCAGAGATTTTTCACCTTGATCATACATCAAACATTGTCACAAGATAAAGAATAATCGATAACCTATATTTCATCTATGACGGAGATTATTTAGATGTTCTCACACGAAATCTAATGTCTCTCAGGAAACATTAGATTACCAATGGAGGCCAGTAAACGACGAAGGCATCAAGGTTTTTGAATTATGAAGGAAGATGATAGAGCAGACCACCTACGGGTAGAATATTGACATTGATTTATCATATTTTATCTTTAATCTATATTAATTAAATTGCAGGCTTTCATCATCTTTTTCTTCTTAAGTTATTCAGGGAACATTATATCATTTTTTATTTCGAAGCTTATATTTTTCTTCTAGTTTGTCTATGTCTCAGACGTAGTTCTGTTTGCAATTTCTTTTTTTGTTAGTTTATAACATTTTTCCTCAATATTATCAGTTGATATTGTATTTTAACCATGAAAATCAAGCTATTCTGTAATTTTGTTTTTGATGATATAAGCTTTATTCTATCAGAATACAAGCGGAAAATATTCCATTATAGTATTCTAAAGTAAAACTATCCAAAAACATAAAATCAATTTTGTACGAATAGAGATTCGAACATGTGAACTTAGCTTTGTGGTAAACTACAAAGTTTTGATACTATTATCGAAGTCTTCTATTATGTAAAGTGAACAAGAACATGGCCTTCGATGGTGCCATTAATGTCAATTAACTTATTTTTCTCATAGTTATATTCATTTCATCATCTTTACGCAACCCAAAATTCTAAATATTACTTTCTTCATTTTTTTCTCTCTATACGACGGCTGTTTTTTTGTCCTTGACATGAGGAAGGATAAAAGTATAGAGTGAACAGATATATCTGTTGAATAGAGTTATTAAAAGGCCATTAATTTGCAAAGACTAAAATTACTTATTCACAACCAAATTCATTTATTACTCAAAGCGTTTTCGACTAGAGCCTGGCAGATTAAGCCAATCGAATCTAATCTTTAAGGTAGGTTAGATTTGAGTGATGAATGGTCAGGTAAGGTTGTAGGTTATATTGATAACCGACTTTTAACTTAAACAATAAAACAATTTTGAGAGACGCATTGGAATACTTAATATGTTGGGGATAAAGTGTAATATTATTGAACTACGTAACTGACCAGTAGCACAAATCAGGCATACGTTCATTCTTTTTCTTTCGTTGCACTTTTTTACACCACCTACGATATGTCTGATAAAATTTTGATTTGTGTTCTCTAATTTAAATTTATATTGAACTAATAAGAGCGAAAGATGACATCATTGAAACAGAAAAGAAAAGAGAAGAGAAATTCTATGTTAGTTAAAAGATGGCGAATATATAACGATAACAGAACCAACATTCAAGCCAGCATTAGAATAAAGAAGATAATCTTTTGTTTTTACGTAATTTTAAAAAAATGTGATTTTGTTTTTTGGTTGATTTGTTTCAGAAAAAAAATCATACACGTTAAATTAGGTTAACCTAGGTTAGCTTACGAAAAAACTTTATTAATTAAGTTGAGAGATTAATTGATTAGGTTATAGGTTGCCAAAAAGTCGTCATACCATGCAGTGTTCTATGTCCGGCTTATTTTGTCCTTTATTTTCTGATTTACCTCGACTATTTTTATTCTTAAATTCCTAATTAAATATGTCACATATCAATCTCTTCAGTAGATTCCAAAAAGCCTTTTCTTTTTTCTAATAGATGATAAGTTTTTTACGCGTATTTTCTCATTATAGAGCAGCAAAACATGCTCCCAGTTTTGTTAAATAATCAACATTCCATCGAACAAAGGTGTACGGACGAATCTTTGGATACAACAGAAAATGTTTTGCGTGAATTAACTTCTATAACTGATACTGTTGTGCGTGATTTAAACAAAGAAACAACATTTACTAATCGAACGAATCATTGGACTTGTGTTATTTGTACAGCACCGGCATATGGTTACAACTTTGATGCCATTACTTGTGAATCATGCAAAGCTTTCTTTCGTCGAAATGCGTTAAGAAAACGAACGGTAAGAAAACCAAAGCACTCAGTAAAAAACCACAGTTTATACTTTTTGTTAACATACAAATTTAATTGAAATAGTTGAGATACAAATATCATGGGAATTTTATCGAAAATTTTACCATGTCAGGATATGCACTTTCTATAATTTCCATTGATCACGTGGGAAAATATTTCCGAGCAAGTCCATCCACTTGTTCGAGGGGTATTTCGAGTGTCCGAACATATGGTTTCGATGGACCATCGCGGAGAGCTTGATCTTTCGAAAAATAAGACTTCGGACTCTCGATATAAGCGTTCTAGGGGTTATCGATTTCGAGTCCTCGGATTTCAGATAGGTAGCGAACGTTCGAGAAAAATTCGGAGCCGTTGAACAGAGATGTTCCGGACTTTCGAGTCCTCACTCGTCCGAGAGTGCGACAAAGTCCCAAACATCGTTGTTCAACGACTCCGAATTTTTCTCGAACGTTCGCTACCTATCTGAAATCGATAACTCTTCGAACGCTTATACCGAAGTCTCATTTTCAAGGGATCGAGTCCTCGGCAATGACCCATTTTCGAGTACTTGTCGCACTTCTCGAACGACTTTTTTCTGTATGGCTCTGAACAGATAAAATTCATACATGTCCACACATCCTCTCACGTTATTCATGTGGATACATACTCCATATTATTCACTAAAATTTCCATATGGAATATGTGATAGAGAGGGAAATACACAAGATTGATATTGTGTTATCCGATAGATTCACTTTTAGAATACTGTTATCTGTTTGTATTCTAAAAATGTTAAATAGGCTTACATATCAACGAAAAAAATTAAGGTTGGTTTTGAGTTACTTAAAAGTGCTATTTTGTATCCAGAACACTCGATTACCCTCAAGTCGAAGGACACTTCTATAAGTTTAGGAAAAATTTTCAAACTAATATTATTTTCCCATGAAAATTTTCTTACGTCATTTTGTTTCAAAATTTTTCCGAAATTTTTGGAAGTATCTCTCGTCAAAAGTAGAAAATCTTCTGGGTTATCGAGTGTGCTAGATACAAAAAAGCACTTTTGGATAATTCAAAAACCAACTTTATTTTTTTTTTGTTCCGGTGATATGTCAAAAGATTTATGTTTATTGACACTGGTTTTTTCAATCTTATTATTTTAGGATATGAAGTTGATTTGTCGTTCAAAGGGAGACTGCGTAATTGATCAAAAAACTCGAAAACGTTGTAAAGCGTGTCGACTTAAAAAATGTGAATTAAATGGGATGCGAAAAGATTGGATACTCAGCGACGAAGAGAAATTTGAAAAACGAAAAAAAATTGAAAAAAATCGACGAATGAGAGACAGTGAAGAGCAGAAAAGTAATTATGATACATCGACAATTCGAGAAGATATTAGACAAAGCGTAAGATACTTATTATTATATTACACACAAACTACTCTTATTTTAAAATGATAAAGTTTATACTACAATGCTATGTTGCATCGGCGATCTCTCTCCACTATACGCCCCATGTTATTCTTGGTGCTGTCTGTAGAAAAAACCAATGTCTATCAGTGTTTTCTGAACAGCGCTTGATTGAAATAGAAATTTGCAGTTCTCATCATCTGAAAGGTGAACCTTATGTGCTACTATTCATTGAAAACGTTCTTCTAAAGTAGGATTTGTAGGAGACTTTCAGAAAATCAGATCATGACTGAAAAATGTTAAATAAATATCCTTTGATTTGTTGTTCTTGCACCGATATCTGACGAGAAAACCGTCCCACATGATCCATCCCGTTTTCAATCATATTTTACTGATATGTAGAGCCTATTGCCATGAGAAAAAGCCTAAAAGGATTTGAGTCCATGTTGCTTCCTTCACGAATTATTGAATTTTTGTCGTTTCGACGAGTGGGGCGATCCACAACATTAAATTTTTATTACTTAGTCAAACCAGCGAACTAAGAGCACAAATTTTTGTCTCATCATAGCCTAGTCACCTATTCATAATCTCCAAAGATTCTCCGGTCTTTAGCTGTTATACTGAATGAATAATCGAATTTTTACGTTTTTGCCTAAGTGATTCGTCTTGTTTTATTTTTATTTCTTGATCTAACGTTTATTCTATGCAGTCCAACATATTAGTGAGCGAACTAATATAATTAAACTAAATTCCCTTATACATAATCAGCTTTCTTCGCAAATATTTCATCTTACTATGCCTGGTTTGGGTCCAGATATCTTAAAACGGTGCCTGAGCCATTTCAAAATGTAAAAGAAATATGCTTCCCGCTTACGGGTGATCGGCGGCGTCTAATCCTACCTAAGCATTTGAAGTCTTCTGTACCACTTCAGAGGTTCGAGCTTCCAGTGTACTACCTGGAAAATGAATTTTTTCAGCAAAAAAGCGTCCCACCTACTTTTGTTTGAGGCACTGTGTCTCAAACGTTCCATAGGACAGACGCCCCTTCGAATGATCACTGCGAAACGACGAATCGCTTAGGCAAAAACGTAAAAATTCGATTATTCATTCAGTATAACAGCTAAAGACCCGAGAATCTTTGGGGATTATAAGTAGATGACTAGGCTGTGATGAGTAAAAATTTAAGCTTTTAACTCGCTGGTTTGACTGAATTATAAAAAATTTAATGTTAGCGGTTGCCCTCCTTGTCAGATTAATATTAATTACATTATTTTCAAATAATGATATCATATTTTTTGTGAAAGTGCATTTTTTCGCATTGAAATCAAAGTAACTAAGAATTGTTGAGCAAGAAAAAGAAATTTTGTATTCAAAATGAACATTTTTTCAAATGTGAGTTTAAAATATATTTAGATCTATGATGACAATTTTATAATGATGCGATGTAAATTAATTAAATATGCTGATAAAACACGTAGTTTCTATCGATTTAATATAAATGATTGGGATACGCTGAGTCAAATTCAAATGGCCTATTATCAGTCTGTTCAACTTCATCCGGTCGTCGGTATGCCATCTTATCCGTTTGTTTGCAAATTATACGATCCATTAGTTGTTGTAAATGTGCCAATGAATATTGCAGCTATAAGATTGATTGCCTTTTATAAATCGATACCAGAATTCTTGAATTTATGTGAAGATGATAAACTAATTTTAATTAAATATAATCTATTAGGTCTAATAATTATTCGTAGTGTTATGGGATATAATCCTGTTGATGACACTTATCGAGACGATTATGCCAACGATTGTTCATACACTGGAAAGCAAGCTATTGGAAATTCTGACTATGATCTCTACACTCGATATACACATGTGATATTATCATACATGGGCATTATTGACAATGATCGTTTAATACTTAAAATTATACTTATTCTTTTTCTATTTTCAAAAGGATCTGCACTGAGAACATCTGGTAATGAACCAATATTACAAGATTCTCGACGAGTATTTCATGCACAAAACGTCTATCTTGATATATTGTGGAAATATTATGTACAGCAGTGGGGAGATATACATGCAACAAAAATGTTTATAAAATTAATTCATCAATTCATGATCACTCACTGTTTGATAAATGATCTTCAACAGTACTACTACAATAGAGCTGTTAAATCTGATGAACTTGCTCCACTGATGGAATCAATTATGCATATTGCATCACAGGAGTAGCTCCAATTAGTAAATAATAATGGTATTAACATGTGAAATCTGTTCTTAAATGTACGATACAGGACTCAAAAGGACGGGTCGATTATCTGATGAAATCGGTCCATACTGAATTTCATCGACCGATTTCATCAGATAATCGACCCCGTCTGTTAAAGATGTCTGTGAGTCAGGAATTCAAATATGGTGAATATAAAAATTTAAGGATAACGCACATTTTGAGTGAATGTCTATGAGTTGTTTCAAGAATATGTTACAGTATTCTAAACAAGTGAATTACATTGCTGTTAAGCATCTATTGATACTACTCTCATAAAGAAGTTATAAGAGAAATTTTTTGTAACAACTTCTTATTGAAATGCCTATATTTGTTAACTTGATCTAGGAATGCGTGAAACAAATTGTTATTGTATGTAGCTTTGTCATGTGACTACTCTCTATTGTTAATTGCTTTCTCATTTTCAAAGAGTAATATCTTAGTGTTATTAATGTCTCATTTCTATTTTATTGGTAGTGCTATTGCTATTTGAACGATTACAGTTTCATGTTGTTTTTATTCGTTTTTTACGACACAAATAGATAATCTTATAGTAATTTTCTTGAAGATTAAAGGAATTTTTGCACTACGACTCAACTATTAATCTTCGGTACACATCAAACACACTACATTTTATTGCTTTTCTCGTCATGGAAAAAAAATGCGTTTTTGTTTACTGGATTTGTAAATTTGAGCTAAAATAATAGTAAATTTAAGCACGTTTCTCAGTATAGAACAAAAGTAATAATAACACGCTTTAGGCTATCCATTGTAATAAATAAAGTTCCTGTTGTTGACGCATGAATAAGTTAAAATTAACAACGTTAGATGTATGAAATTTTTGTTCTAATAAAGAGACACGAATACTCATATCTCTTCTTGTCTCTAATCTCACATATGTAAATATAGATCAAGACCTTGCGTAGATGGAAAACCGTTTTTGGGCTTATTTTTCCAATTAATCGGAGCCCAAAAAAAAGGGATTCGTATTGTAATAAAAATTTTGGTAGCTATTATTCTATGCTACAAGGTGCATCCCATACACGAAAAAAGGTTACGCTTGCATCTAGGATAAATTAACCTTCTACTATTCTAACATAATTGTCGCTAGTATAGATTAATGGATTTTTAATCTAGTTGAATACGGGCTACAGCTATTTTTTAAAGGTACACTTTTGCACTTATAAATTATTGTTTGAGATATAACACATGTGTTCCGCTTTTTGTTGATAAAATAAACTTTATAGTACTTATTCTAGACCCAAAAGAAAGACAAGTTTTTTCTCTAAAACAATTGTCGTTATCTAATATTTACATATTTTTTTCATCGTAAGGTAAGGAGAAGCAACAAGCATAACTGCCATGCTGTGTTACAGTTTTACTGACTTTTTGGCTTTTAAAAGTGATCTTTGTTCATAAAACAAGTAGAGATGTCGGTTGCAGGACTGTATAGCGAATTCAAAGCCACCTTTCTAATTCAATCGCACGTTTACACACAGCATCAAAACTGCTAAAAGTTTTGATGCACGTGACAAATGAGTCGCTTCATATAAAGTCAAAAATTTGAAAAACAAAATAAATCAATGGCTTCGATGCGAGCATACCGAAAAAATAGTAAAGATCGAAGAAAAACTGAAATAATGCGAAATATCACAAAAAACTCATAATATATTGTCGTGTACCGTAATACAGTGACGAAAGAAAAGAACAGTTTTCTTTTGAGTATTTATTTCCATTCCGTACATAACACTCTGGTGAAACCTAATTAAGGTAAAAAGTGAAATAAAGCACAATAATGTACATTCCGCAATATTAAGCCGTATTATGAACAAAACCAAAGCGAAAGCCTCACTATATCTTATAATCGTGCTAAATTGTTCCAAAGTTTTCCAAAACCGAGTCAAAAGCCTAAAATTCGCAGCATAAACCTATATCCTGGAATTCTTTTCAAAAAACGAGCATTCCTATCAGATTCAGCGTTGCTGACTACGTATGTTCCATGCGATTTCAGTGTCACCGCAAGTCACCGAATACCTGTCATGGGGCTTGAAAGAAATCTGATACCACACCTAAACCGCTGGAAACCAAGGTCTCACTTGGCATCCAATCTGTAGAAAACACTTTGGACTATCTACGCAGCGGAAAAGATTAATTTATTCATTCCGCGAATTTTAGACTTTTGACTCGGTTTTGCAGGGCTCTCCTGGACAACTGGCTTTTAAAAACATTTTAGAAAGCTCATGTGTTACGTAAAGATGAGTGGTGTCTTAGCTATCAAATTACGAAAACCGCAACCCTCTAACTATTGCCAATCAAAAGTTATTTAAAATAATACACGGTAATAAATCGCTTAGGAATCCAATATTTCTGAAAGTGGGCTAAAATAACTACTAATTAGTAAGCTTTTGGGAAAGCAAAATTATGTCATCTGATAGAGATGAATACAATGAACAACTTTTACACTTTCCAAAATGCTTTGTATATGCGGGCGATTGCGCAAGAAATAGTTTTTGCACTAGGTGCACAATAGCTGCAAAAATCGCTTTTCTCAATTTTTAAAAATTCCACCTCTATTTCCACTTATTCAACCCGTGAGTTATTGTACGGGTATACCCTTAAAGGTATCCTCTACAAGGTGGTAAAGTTTGAGGGTATGTTAGGGCGGCTTGTTTCCGGCGACTATGAATTATTATTATTATTACCATCTTATTACAATATTGCTAAACCAGAGTGTTTAGGCGGTTTTTACCTATTTTTTTCTGTCTTCTATTCCGCTCAAAAATAATAGTAAAATGTTTTCAAAAAGTTCTCGATATTATAAGTTTTCTCCTCTGAAGTTGTTTATGGACTAAAAAATTTCAAAAACGTTTTCTTTTTATGTGGTGATTATACTACCAAACCAACAAGAAAACTTTTAGGCTTTGTATAATATTTTCTTTTATAATTTGTTTCAAGGCCAAATTTATTCTTTCAAACTTCTCTTTTATCAGTTCGAGTACGAAAAATAGTCTATTTGAATAAGATTTTTTATAATAGATTTTTTAATAATTTTTTATACACATGTGATGTCATTCCTGCAAAATAGAATCAGTATGGTTAATAGTCAAAATATTTATTTATTTACTCTCTAAAAAAATAAATTTATTACGAAACTTGAAAGAATATAGAAAAGTGTAATCATTTCGAAATTGTTTTAGGTCTCGTACTTCGACGATAGGTTTATGTTCTCCAAAAACCATAAAAGATTTCGTAGCCTAAGTACGAAACCCAAAAGGGATTCATATAAAACCTAAAACGGTTACGAAATGGTTACAATTCTCTATACCCTTCTAGGTTTCGTAATAAACCTACTTTTTTTTATAGAGTAGGCTTTGTCAGTATGTTTAGCATACTGTTTTTATATTGATGATTCTTCTTTAGGGTACATTTTTTTCATCCCGAAACTTTAGTATTTTGGTGTCTCAGAATGTCCATATTCTTGAACTTTGCTAATGCAAAAAACACAAATACGATTAGAAAAATCAAAGAAATATGTGACACTAGTTCTGCTTGAAATTCATGTACACTATCGTTAGAAAATGAGGACAGAGAATCCTTAATGTATTCTAAATTAATTAGTCGGAAAAGGTTTTACGTTTACATGTCAGTTATATCTAATAGTTGATGATAACCATATTAAGTTCATTAATTAGTTGAAATGTCAATGATGCGATTTCTAAATTTTGCATTGCAGCATTTTGTGTTTTTGTTGTATTCTAGATGTTCTCTAATCTCTTAAAATTTAGTCTGGATAAATATTTTGACTATTAAACCTTACTAATTCTATGTTGCAAGTACGAAATCACATGTGCGTGAAAAGGTATTAAAAAATCTATTAAATAACAAATCTTATTCAAATACTCTACTATTTATAGTCAAACTAATAAAAGAGAAATTTGAGAGAATAAATTTTATTTTTGATCTAAAGTCGAGTGAGATGTAGAATATAATAACATTCCACCCACCTCCAGAATAGAAGACCATGACCTTCTATTATAGTTTTGCCCATGATCGTTCGAACAGTGTATTTTTATTAAATTTTCAAACGCTTCAGATTATTTTAAGGAGAAAAAAAATACGATGTATTTACAAATATTAACATGTTTGGTACTGAGTTGTGTGATACCCACTTTGATTCAATCGAAAAGCACGGAGAAATATGTTTGTCCAGGTATTTCCAATTAGTTTGTCAGTTTCTTTTACTATAAAAACTTAACTCATTTTAGGTTTTGGTTTCGTTCGACCACAAACTCCTTGTGAAGACTCTTGCAAAGATGATACAACCTGTAAAAGTGGACTCAAATGTTGTTATAGTCCTCTTATAAAAGATAACAGACCATGTGGTTCTCATTGTATTCAACCGAAAGAAAATATTCCAAAGGAAGGTCAATGTCCAGATAGCAAGTCGAAACCAGAGTCTTCATTGTGGGGTATTTGTGATATACATATGTGCGATATTGATGGAGATTGTAAAGGAAAAGAAAAATGCTGTAGAAATACATGTGGAGGTCCCGTGTGTATTGCACCAGAAAAGTAACATTTCGTTTCTAATTATTATATATCCTGAACGATGAAGTTTGATAATCTAATGTAACTTTTTTCAAAGAATATAAGATTACTCTTCAATGTATCCTATGAGAGTATGTACTTTTGATCTTCGACCGGTTTTGAATAGAAATCATTACCAAGAAGAAGATCTCTTTGGTTACCAAATCCATTGTAAAAATAACAATACCACTAAAGTAGATGAAAATAGGTTTCTTTACAAATGTAAAGATGCGCTTTCTCTCTGAATTCTCTGTACGCTTTTGTAATGACTGAATTGGTGTTTTATCGCTAACTTTATAGAAATCAGATAAAGAGAACTAATCCAGTGGGACTTATTATTTTATGTGTTTCAAAACTAACGGGACTGGAACAATGGTGCTGCTAAGGAAGAATTGTTGGTATTTTAAACGTAAGTCACTGACAAGAAGGAATTTGTAAACAAGTATATTTTCGTCTACTCAAGTAGTGCTCTTACCTTGCAACAGACTTGGTGATAAAAAAACTGGCACCTACCTGTGCTGTATCGTGGAATAAATAGCGTGCAGCTATGTAACCAGGATTCTGTAGAAATATTTATCTCATATTTGGGGCTTTTTCAGTCTTCTAAGTATACAATCTACGGATTTGATCATGTTGCCAAAGTTTCAATTGATGCGGTTGAACTTTGTACGAAATATAAGTTTTTCAACTGAAAATAATATGTTTAGAAAATAATGTGTATAGAAGTTATAAGTTATTCTGGGTAAAAACTCCAGATTTCATTTAAGTGATTGAGCACCGTGAAACAGATATATCCACATTAAATTCATGACATAGGTGAGACAGTCATGGGTATATATTACAACAAAGAATGTTTATCTTTTCGGGGTCGAAAACTGTTATCATTTTGAGGAAAACAACAAAATCGAATTCAAATTCATCTTGATCAGATGTGTCCGAGTGTCATCAAAAGTACCATTGATCATTATAACAGACGTTTTACAAAAAAGAAATGACGGACCATCCAGCCGAAGAGGATCGGTATGTCATCTAGGCTACGTGTTCACAGTCGTTGAAGGTCATCATGATTCCTGTGGTTCACAGAGATACATACTTTTATATAATTTCTCGAGAATATCATGCATTTAGCAACTGTTCAATGAAACTATATTTCAACATAATATTTTTTTCTTATAATAAGTAGTACAGGATTGTTGAGATGAAGTGATTAGCAAAAGCCGTTAAAAATTTATTGAGCAAAAATAGTAGAACAACGATGTTTTGCCATTGAGCGATCGCAACTTAGTGTCATGAAATCGAAAAGAGCTCCAAACGGCTCATTATGTAGAGAAAGCTCTACATTCAAAGCAAAAATTCTTCATACAGTCGGAAATAATAACTATTTCGTTGCGGTGTACAAAACACTTGCCTTGTTCAGTCTTTTTGGATACCAATGTTCAGTGGACTATTGGTACATGGATACACGCACACTTCTGCATGCTTATTTTTGTTTAAATACTCTTTATTATTCATTTAATCATTTCTCACTAATAATTTTATAATCTAAAGCATTATTATTGAGATAAACAAATATAAATAACTATCGGCTGATCCACCTTTTCTAATATTACTGTTAGCCTGAAATTCAGATATTTCATTTCGCCATTCAAGTCCTATTATTTAAAACATAGAAAGAGGCACCGATAGAATCTTACGATTTGTCACAGATCTCTACCGCTTTCGAGTCAAAAGAATTCGAAACACAGTTCGAAAAACAGTGGTGTGTCTTTTAATTTGAAATGGATAGTAGCATATATATATAAATAACTTGTTTCGTCAAGATCTTTCCAGGTCAAGCAATCCTACCAGGTTCCTACAAGATCCTATTGATAATAGGATTTCATAGGATTCCTATTATACGATCCTGACAAATCCTACAGCAGAAATTCCATAGGATTCTTGATATAGGACGGTACTAAAAATCCTATAGGACTCCCGTAACAGGAATCTTATGTATTTCTTATAAAATCCTACGGTAAGATTTTGTTGGAGTCCTATTTTTTCGTTCCGTATATATTTTCTTTTCTTTTTTTATACGAGAACACAATCACCGACGTGTTTTGTAGTAGCTAACTCTAATATAAATACAACTCTACTCTAGAAAATAAAAAATTCTTTTAGGCTCAAATTTTCGAAATTCTGTGAATCATTCAAACTCGCTGTACTCTTCGACGGGGGGTGTGAGTGAGTACTCGCAAGTCTTGCGCTTATCCCAGCCCAGAATCGTCTGCTTCGGGCTAGCTGGAATTAGAGAATAATTAAACAAATAAAAATAATAAACCTCGTAGGGTAAAGGATACCATATCCTAGCTGATCATGTAAAATTCTATCAAATCATATAATAAGATTAATTTAGGATCTTATATGATCTGAGAAGTTCCTACTGTATGATCTCATAGGATCCTGTAAGAGATTTAAGATAGATTTATTTTAAGATGGCAGACGTGTTTCCTATAAGATCCTATATGATTTTATAGGATCATATAGATCAGACAAGATCCCATATGATTCTGTTACAGGATCCTTTGATCTAGGTTTTGCTTATGACTTTTGTAGAATGCTTATTTGAGCCTACGTGCTGGAGGTGTTCCGATGTTACATTCTTCTCTCTTACCGATAGTTTTTGCTAATCGTGTCATACGAAA